CAGGAGGCGCGAGCAGCGAGAGGGCTCGTGGGAGGCGCGAGCAGCGGGAAGGCTCGCGGGAGGGCTCGCGGGAGGCGCGAGCAACGACAGCGGCAGCGGGAGCCCTCCCGCGAGCGACGAGATCGCGATCGGGATCGGGATCGAGAGCGGCAGCGGCAACAGGTTAGTGTTGGGTTAGGGTTAGGGTTAGGGTTAGGGTTAGGGTTGGGGTTATATCGGTTTAGTTGGTTCGATTGAACCAACTAACAACCGAACCAGGACCGAACCAGACCTAAAATTCTGGTTCGGTCGCCTTTAAACCCAGGCGCTCGCCCGAAGCGCCCAGCGCCTGGGCTCGGGCGAGCGCCCAAGCGGCGCCTGTTTGAAGCGCGCCGCCTGGGACATTAGCGAGGCGCTCGGGCCTCGCCTCGCCTCGCCCGAGCGCCTAGGCGAGCGCCCGAGCGCCTTTTGCAATCACTGGTTTGCATCATGACTCCGAGATCCAGGTAGAAGAATCGGGCCAGTAGCAGACAATCCATTGATAGGCTGGCGGAGCAGTATGTACTATCCGTACTAGGCGGTATGTTACGAAATTAAAAACATTGAACCCTAGTACCCACAATGTGATTGAATCATTTAGCAAAATTTTCAATATTAGTATAGACTAAACCTTCACATACAGTAGTGAAAACAAGAATTTCGAACTTAAATTAGAATGGATAATTCCCATTTTCAGATCCAAATAAAATGGATAGCTTTCTTTTAGACAAGACACTCATAATAGGACTCTTTACTCTTTAGAATGTTCTGAAGTTACTGCAAAAAGCAATAACTCAATCTGAATGCCAAAAAGCAAACCTGTGTATTTCAGTAAATAATAAGTAGCAATCAGAAATTGTAATAATTCCAAAAGGCATCAACATTCAATACTCATGGATTCCAAGTCACCAAGAAATGATGGCACCAACCATAAAATTACTACTCCAAAATAATATGTAAGTGCATAACACTAAACTATCTCAATCAAAATTAAGTATGACCTTATCAAGAAAATATGTAATTGATGGAGCAATAAAGCAAAACATACCTTCCTCCATGGACCAGATTTTGAAGAAGTTTGAACTGAAGCTGAAGTCTGCATCAAGATAAAGGTCAATCAAAGTATTCAAGGAAGAAGCACAAATATGCTTCCAAAGGATGATGTAACAGATGGCAAGTGATTACAAGCCCTGTATTATAAGTTTATTCACAAAACAATAATTTTGATTACTGACAGGAAGGTATACCTCCTCAAACTTCTCAAAGTTTTGAGTATCCAACTCATCATTAACTTCTGGTTTGAAAGCAGCCTCCATCTGGTATAGTTTCTCCCACTGGGTGCCTTTAAACCATGGATGTGCCTGGACCATGATGCTGATATCAATTTTCCACACATAATATAAAAGTAGGATGACACATAAAATTAAAAAGTGCAAACCTTTATTTCATGAGCACCCTTTGTCCCATGTCTTTGCTCTACATTGCACAAAAGCCTGCAAATAAGATGTTTAGCTTCAGCTGATAATTTAGCCTCCTCAGGAAACTTCAAGTGGTTTCTCCAGTTTACAATCTGCAAAATAGAAGCAAATAAGAAAACCAAACTAATGCCAACATAATCAGTTTATTGGAAATGCTCCTCAATCAAGACCAGTTCCTCATAGACATTTTATCTTTAAAAAGGTCTAGTTTCTGTTACAACTAACCAACAATGGACAGGCTGATCAGCACAAACCAGCATGAAAAGCACCATTCCGGATTTGAAGTTGGATAAGCCACAACAATAATGTTGACACATAGCATGGCCATTTTTTTGGCATGTTAACTCACATAAGAGGCATGTCTATTACCTAGAATAAAATAGTGTCCCAGCTATATGATTTGCAGTTTCTTATGTAACTCCCCAGCATGAGAGCCAAAGCCATAATCTACTAGTTAATACAAGTACACCTGACAACCAGAATCAGATCCCTGATTCTGAACACGATGACAACATAAACTAGTTACAATTACCAGAAGCCTGCCAAGACGATTGCGAAAATCTGGAATGTTAGGTAACAGTTAACAGACCTTTCTACATGTTGACATGGGATCTTCAGAATAAAATGGCGGGTAACCCACCAGCATCTCATACATGATTGCTCCAAGCGACCACCTAACAAATTTGCATGTGATCAGTACATTCAAATATATATTTCAAACAGAAACACAGGGGACCTTACCAGTCACACTCCATTCCATATCCTTTCTTTAGCAGAACTTCTGGAGCGATGTAATCAGGTGTGCCAACAGTTGAATAAGCCTGGATTGATCAAAGAACATACAACAGAATGAGAATGTGCTAGAATGAAGAAGATGCTAAAACATCTCCTCTAAAATGGAAGCAAATGTTATCACAAGTTTTGGACCAGAAACACATAGTGTCACCCTACAATTAGCTAAAAAACCAATAGATCAAGTTCTATATTTCTATGGTAAGGTAGAAATAAGATGTACAAGAAGTATAAAAAGTTTAATTTCTTGCTAAACTAATGATTTGACATACAAGAGCAAATAGTTTATACTAATGGCATAATAGGCCTCCAGTTTTAGCCATCAACTAATACAACAGAAGATATATATTGGAAAATAATCCCAAAAGGGGATCAGATTTCTTGTTTATACATAACACAACATTCTTGGAACAATTTTTATGTCACTTTATACTCTCTAAGCATGTTTACTCTAGTCATTCAAATGGATAAGAAAATTGTATAATCTTATATATTCAACATCGAATACTTTAATAGGTAACTTAAAAAGAAATTATGATACACATAACATAATGGTCATTCAGAGACTGAAGTAAAATAATTTAGGATTGAATATTACCAACATCCGTCTATTCTTTTGCCAGTGTTGTAATTGTTCCTGTTGAGTACGCCTAGGAGCAGGAGAGAGATCAGATAGCTTATCATCAAGTGTAGGCTTGATATTTCTTCCCGTTGCATAATCAGGCTCATTAAGATTAGGAAAACTACTACTATCCAGAGGTTTGCACAAACCAAAATCCGAAAGCTTCATGTGACCATTTCGGTCCAACAATAAATTGTCTGGTTTAATGTCCCTACAAAAGATAAAAGCAAGACTGAGTCTACTACAGTGCTGTTCAAGAAGAGATAAACAACCGGAAGAAGCATACCTGTGAATGTAATTATGCTTGTGAATAGATTCAATAGCTAATACTGTTTCTGCAACGTAAAATCTGGCCTCATACTCTGTCAATGTATCCTTACGCATGAGTAGAGTCATCATGTCACCTCCAGGAAGATACTCCATGATAAGATATAAATATTCATCATCTTGAAAAGAAAAGTAGAGTTTCACAATATAGGCACTATCCACCTCTGCAAGTAGGTTTCTTTCAGCCTTCACATGCTCAACCTACAAAGTATGCAAAAACAGTGGGTAGATTGTAAAAAACACAAAAAACAACAGATGAATGAATATTAACCATACCTGGCCCCTCCGAAGCATTTCAGATTTTTTAAGTTTTTTCATTGCATATACATGCCCAGTTGTTTTCTCTTTACAAATTCTGACCTGCATAATTATGCAGAAGCCTGATCAATATTCCAATCAGGCATACAATAACAGTTAAGTTACAATCATCAATACAAGTGTTTAATCAAGTAACCTCTGAATAACATGCATACATTCACTTAATCCTCTATCTAATTTATGATTAAGTTGGCCATATGAACTTTTGTGGCAAGAAGCCTAAATCCAAGATCAACTTGGTGATTTGGTGATCAGATACTGGTCTTACACAAGGAACACGATGTCACCAAATGACCAAACCACATTAAATCATTATATGCCATTTAAAAGTATCACAAAAAAAAGGTTAGCATATTTAAACATGTATTTAACAAGTCTATCCAAAACCTAATAACTGAAACTCGAAAGGAACATTCACATGGGAAATTCAGAGGATGTTCCAAAGCTAAAGGAGAAAGCAAATACAATGGCATTAGAGAAGTTGCCCTACCATCCAAATACAGAAGCAAAGTACTTCAAAAAAGATGAAGCTTAAATTAGAAGAGAAAACTGGAGCCACTTTAAAGATGACCATCGAACTTAAAACAAACAACTAGGAACATGACAACCCAATCTAGTCCCACATCAGGAGTTGGAGGATGGTTATGAAGCTATATAGGACTAGATGAGTATGCTACTATCAATATGGCTAAAGCATTTGGTTCATGTGATTCACAACTCATCAAGCTAGTGAGACTCCAATCAGACCACACTGTGACAAGGAACTAGCAAAAGGCACACATTGTTGGCTACAACCTCTTTTCTCTTACTTTAGTTGTTTTTCAGTAGGTCTACATATTCCTTAATCTTAAACAAGAAACACTGTATGTTAATGTTGAAGATAAAATTCCTCAAAATGAGAACTTCAGCACAAGCTAACCTCTCCAAATGCCCCTCTGCCAATAATGGTCAGAAGTTCAAAATCATCCACTCCCATTTTATGCCTTTGAAGACGCATGTATTCTGTTTCTTTTTTCTCTAAATTCTTCAGAAAGTTGTTCTGCTCCTCTTCAGAAACTTCTGCATCAGCAAGCTTCCTTTCTAAGATCCAGCGTCTGAAATTATCATCCATTGAATGGAAAAGGATGTTTAAGTGAGAATTAACCCAAAGGTGATATTTAAATAAGAAAACTAGTCTCATAATGAGAAGGCACGAGTGACAATGGTTATGATATCAGAATCGATTCAATAATCAATCAAAAAATAAAAGCAATATGTAAAAGAGAGGAGTAGTATAATCAATGGATAATTGTGAGAAACAGTAATGGCAATTTGAAATGCAACAGCAAAGAAACTGAAAAGGAGCATGAAAAATATTTAAATAAAAAGATATTTGAAACAAGAACATTGCTGAAGCACTTTTCTAGGCCCATAGTATTTTCAAAAGACGTAGATTGCATAATGTTTTTGCACACTTTAGAAAGTCAAAGAATTCAAACAATCATCACTCATTCTGTACAAGGTGATGAATATGTAGATTGACTGACATCAAAACCAATCATTTAAATTGTAAAGTAGATGAGTAAAATCCAGTAATGGCTTCAGCAACAAAACAATGGAAGATGGTGAGGAACAAAGGCTAGGAAAAAGTAACTATATCAAGAACATCAATTTTCTTAGATATTTCAAGGAAAATGTGTTGTGGCAAAAACCTACTGATGCACACATTTAGATGTAGAACCATAGAGGTGATAATCAAGCATTTAGAGACAGGTTGCCTAAACTTCAAATTATAAAGAACTCATGAAATCAAACTACTTGAGCAAAAAAAAAAAAACAGATTGCATGTAATATTTAGTACAATTAATGAAATATAGATGAACCTCTTAGTTAATTTAGTGACATTTAGTATTAGCGAGCTACGAACAATAAAGTACTTCTTAGTTAATTTAGTTACATGCCCTCAATAGCTGTCAATGGCATGAGGAACTCCATGAAGGTGACCCGTATAGTTGGAAATTTATAGCCAATTGTAAAGAGAAACCCTAGTTGGAAAGATCAAAGTTTCAGGTTAAAATGTAAGAGGACAAGAGGCAATGCTAATGGAAAGGTAAAAACAATCATGCCACAGTTAATTCAGAAGTCACCAAAATGAAATCCAGGTGATTATTAGTGATGTAAGTGGAGTTTAAGCAGCTCACAAAAGAAAAGGAGAGATGTCCTCAGTGGTATGTGGGTGATAGCTTTTTTCCGGCAAAATAATAGCCAGCAGCACATTTGATAGACTTGCTCATGCAGGCTTGATATCCTATGGCTAACTACTAGTCGTCAGCATATCTAGTGCACTTGCTTCATAAAAATAGCCTACACATGCTGTGTGACAACAAATAGCTTCCCTTTATATTCGTCTCCAGCTCCATCTCCATTTCCATCATACAATGATAGAAAGTTTCTTATCGATGGAATCTTGTAAGACATCCTAGAAAATATGTTTAAATTCATTCTAATGGGTTTCACGAAGTAAAAGACCAAATACGAGTTTTGTTAGAGCTGAGTGATCAGTGATTTCAGTCTATATCACTTCTTGAAACCAATATTCTGATGCCATAAGAAGCACCTAAAATGTAACTCTTTCAAAGGCAAAAAAAAAAAGAAAAGGAAATGCATAAAAAAGATCACCTCTCCTTCCGATCTTCCAAGGACTTCATCTGAGACTTGTAATGGTTCTCAATGTACTGCTTTGCAGCGGCAACTTTCTGCTTCGTGATGTTCGAAGGCGCCTCATCGATTGGAGGCTTCTGCATATCCTTCGCACTTCCTGCTTCCTTCTTTTCCGTTCCAGGCTTAACTTTCTCCCCTCTAGATTGCAGTTTACGAAACCAGTTTCTCGCGGAGTCCATATTCGATCACTAATCAATATTTCCAACAGCAAAATCTGTTATTTCCGATCAAACCACTGAATCATAAACCACAGGAACAGTATTATCGCATCCAGCTAGAAAATTTGTCGTACAAGTACGACATTTCGATTTAAACCCAAGAAGTATTAAACGATAAATTGCCATCCGAACAGAACAAAGAACCCCAAATCCCAAATTTCCTCACTAAAATTCCCAATAAAAGTGAGATCTTTTCGCACGATGACAAATAAAACAACAAAACATCTATCCTCACTAAATTCGAGAAACGAGAGAGCAAAATCTCCTCCAGAAGAACCACTTAATTTCCTAGCACCTTACAAATTCCGCTTCTTAGAGACCACTTCAACCCCAGAAAGCGCAAAGATCCAGAAAACCGCTGAACTGCCGCCTCCATCGACCATACTCGTCCACAAAAATACCGAGATGGAGTGCATAGGAGCGGGAGCAACACCTACCTGGATCTCGAACTCGTCGATGGATGAAACTTTTTCGCCCTTCAGGAACACACGGATTCTATCCCACCAGCGTCGCTTTGACCCTCCGCAACCAACACCTTCGACCGCCTTCTCCCCACCTTCCTCCCACGACGCGATCAAAATAATTATCAGCCCTTTATTACCCCAACGCTTGATAAAATAACCCTCTTTTCTTTCTCAAGCCTTATATGCAATGACACCCCTGACACACAATATTTTACGATCAGATACATTAAAGTGATATTTGCATCTTTCTTCTAATTTTCATTTTTGTGCGGAGTGTAACCGCAAAAATAATCTTGTTCTTTTATTTACCCTTTCGCCCCTGCCAGACGTAAGAGGTGCATCTTCTAAAAGCAGGCGTGCGCTTACCAACTAGCGAATGAAATGACCGAGAAGCCCTTGGACACGAAGGGACGAGAGCGGTATATGTGTAATTCGACGGTAGGTCGAAGGACATAACAAGGAGAAACGCGGCCGTCAAAGCACGCCGTCTCCCTGGAGAGAGCGGATAATATAAGCAGAAAAAAGGGAGCCAAAAAGGGAAGACGCGTGGCGACGATACCATCGCACGGCGCCGAGAGAGCGAGAGGGAGAGGCGGAGGCGGCGCTGGGGGACGCGTGTGCGAGGCGGTCCCTGAGGCGTCGGTTCGGGACGCTGAGGGCAGCCGGTGGTGGTCCAAACGCGCTGCGGGCAGGTGGAAAGAAGGACGAGGCGGCGGAGCGATTGGCGCGATGGAGTCGAGCCGTGCTTTCTTTCCCTAAAGCAGCCGCGCCCCATCGAGAATACGACGATCGGATCAGCGTGAATCACGGGGCGAGCACAACTCTTGATGAGGCTTTGCCTTTCCTTCTGGAGTGGCCGACGCCTCGTTAATAATTATTAATGGTGATGATAAGGCGCTGAAATATAAAAGAGACGACCAGATCACATTAAATCACGGGGATAGCACGACTATTGATGACGTATTTTAATATTGGAAAATATAGTTCATATTTCTGACTATTTGTTTTAAATGTTGTTTTGTCTTTTTTTTTTAGAAAATAAATAAACGAATCGTAAATAATGATGCTATTATGTGCAATTCCAACATAAACATAGCAAACGTTTAAATGAAACAAGAGAGGGAGAGGAATTATCCTTTGATTTAATCTGATGTAAAAGGTCTCCCAAGTATGAAGAATGATGCAATTTTGGCATGCATAAATCAAGCATATAAAAAAAATTGTTGTTAAAGTCATAAATTAAGATTTAAATCATGAAAATAGTCTCTTTACTTCCAAATTTTAAATTAATAATGGAAACATTAACCTTCCTAATATCTTTATATTGACATTGCTTTCGATCGATGGCTTTATGCATAAGACATGAACGATTTGAACTCTCACCGTGGTTGATTGTCTGTATTATATGACTTTTAGGTAGGATAATTTGAAGAATCTAACTTGTCAAAAATTATGTCTAAATCAATTATTTCTCGAATAATTGGACTGATCCCTCTTTATATAATTCTAACTCCACATATGTGGTATGCTTATGCTTTTAAGTGTTAAAGGGATCGATTCTAGAAATTTCTTTTGATATCAATTTTCGTGTAGGTGACACCTCGAATAACCTTAAGGGAGCTCAATATTTCCACTCCGAATAATCCTATGCACATGATTTGAACTATATCGGGCTAACCCGAATGTCAATATCATCTTCTCGATATCGTAGGAACAACCCCCCCCCCCCCCCCCCCCTCCGTCAATCTTCTTAATCAACACTCGAACGAATAGGTTTTGCCTTCAACCCATAATACTTTCATCCAAGGAGGGTAACAGTCACCCTTTCCATACATTAGTGCATTCATCTCAGTGTAAACTCTAATGTAATACTGGTGCCTATTCAATGACCCAAGTCTCTCACCCCTAAGGACGGTCTCAAGCTACTTATTCATCCTCATTGAAGTGTTTTTAAATCTTACTCGACAAGTATAGATGATAATAGACATGATATAGGTTGTTGCTTTGCTTTTGCCCTGATTGGTCCAATAAGCGATGCCATCAACTTAGTCACAGTCCATAGCTCCATCGCTATTGACACTCGCTAAGATTCCTCAACCTGACACGATACCAATATCTCAAGAGCGTCTCATGAGAGGATTAGCTCATCTAGTCATAAGACTTATGCTTGAGCTACTACTGAAAAGAGCACAAGGGAATAGAGCAACCCAAAGATAACTCTATCGATATCCTTTACTTTGATGCTTTCCGAAAACTTAAGATGTCAACTAAGAACCTCACATCAATGACTTTTTCGCTGACAAGGTTCACTGGCAACTCCATCTCCTCTATCGGAACTGTAAACTTGTACATAACATTCGTAGATGAGCTCTGCTTCAAAACAATGTTGATTAAGTTTATGATGATAGATATCCCCTAAGCATATAATGCGATCATAGGCTAACCTACATTGAATAAACTAAGGCTGATGGTATCGACTTATCACATAGTGATGAGATTCCCGATGAGGGTCAGCTTCAAAGAATTGAGAAGCAACCTAAGGGAGTCATACTAGTGCTACCTGATGACGGTCTCCCTATCGAATAATACTTGACACAAGGCACTACCTATGGACCCCTAAGACTTGGCCAAGTATGTCTCACATCCCAAGCTGGTCGACATCCCATGTACGATCGAGAAGGGCTACGACATAATGATGATACTAAAGTCGAATGTGATGAAATTAGTAATAATACAACAACAAGGTACTAAATGAGGTTAGTTATAATTTAGCTTATTAGTACTTTATTACGGTAGCCTACATCAAACAAAACCTCTAAAGGATAATGATAAATCTGCTTTATTATCTCATAGCACAAGGACCCTCGGAATATTGCTCTATATTTTCTACCATTCTTGCAATCCCTCTCATCCTAAATATAGTAATATATCTAGAAATTCTAGGTCTGGTAGATTAATTATCTTCAGCGTTGTGAAGCACAAGAACTTGCCCTTGCATAGGTCAAATGCTAACATTTGCCTCCCTCCTCTTCTTTTAGGGAAAGATCTTGAGCTTTGAGGGTCCTTTGAAAAATCCTAGCACCTCGAGGGCAGGAAGCATTTTGTTCAGTTCCTTTTCAAGAATCTGTTTTACCTCGATTCTTTGACCTATCGAGAATAGAATACTTTGGTGGAAAGATTGTTGGACTATGTTAGGGCTGATGTCTCAAGTGACAACACATGAATGAACGAGAGAAGAACTAAAGAAGCCACTATTATGCCCAAAGAAGGACCGACTCCCTTTCTCCTCAAGGCCCGAAGATTCATACCTATATGAAATGAAAGTTATTAGGTTGCACATGTTAATTTCTCAAATTATAACAAGAAGAAGGGGAGAACAAAAAAGATCCATACCCGAGGAGTCGGGTTGAGATTCATGTCGATCAGCTAGTTCTTGTCCATCTTCTTGAGAGCCTAATATAAAAGAGAATATCTCTTAATTAGGACTTAATTTGTCTCCTTATTCGACAAGAAAGAAAATGTATTATCTATAGAATGTGTGGACTAGACGAGATTGAACCCTCAATCTTGACTTGTACCTATGAGGAAGAAATGCTCCTTCCAACCCTTATTATTCGAAGGGGTATTACTAACCTTAAAGTCCTCCTAAGTAGTCAGGTAGTAGGTATTTTTTGCCTTACACAGTCGAAAGCAGGCAAAAAAAAATTACGGGTTGGAGCAATACCAATATGGCAACACTCCATGATAAACACTATCAAATAACACCACAACTTATGCACCATTTGTGAGGGTAATATCTTCCACCATTTAAGACAAGACAATCACTAAGTGGAGGGAAAAGCAAAGTCCCACCTCTAAAGCATTAGAAGATAAACAAAGAAACCTAAGCATTAGGTCATATGGATGATGACCCGGTTGATGGACTTGCAGCTCAAACTCAAGTAGGATGGAGTACTTGATCTACAAGCAATATAGGAGTTGTGTGCTCATCACTTAACCTCTATCATATGTCCTTCATGATATTTAAATCTCAAAGAATCCTTAGATTCACTAGAACCGACTCTCCCAATAAAAGAGAGGTCAAACTTCCTTCACCCATATGCTATTTGAGGATAAAACTCCAACCTCCTTGCTTATTCGATGGTCGTGAGATTGGGAGGAGCTTGTGTGAGAAATAAAATACATATCAACCTATAAATACAAAAGAAGTTCTTTAAGATTGAGATACTAAAAGGTTAAGGTATTGGAGAGCCGACACACTTGAAGGACGAGATACCCCGTAATCGATCCGCCCTGAAGAAGAGAATCAAGGACCAACTTGCTTTGAAGAAAAGAGCCAAGGCTAAGAAGAAAAAACTCATAAGAGAGATTATATAGGCTCAAATAAGAGAATGAGCATCACCCCTATGGCTAAGGGAGATTTATATGGAGGGGATCAATCTCTCTTCTATCATATTAAAGATAGGTTTTCTTTCGATCAAATTTGAAGAGATGCTAATTGATAAAGGATCACCTTCGAAGAAACATACCATAGTTAGAGGCATAAGGCAAAATATGCTTGAGGCGTGTGAGTCGGTAAAACCCAAACCGTATAGAAAGAAACCCATAATGATGGAAAGCATACGATAAAATATGCTCAAGGCATGTGAGTTGAGAAAACTCAACATGTATAGGAAGAAACTCACCTGAGGCATGCAGCAAAATATACCCAAGATATGTGAGTTGGCAAAACCCGACCTGCATAGGAAGAAACCTGTCGTGGCAGGAGAATAAGATAAAATATGTTTAAGGTGCGTGGGTTAAGAAAATTCAACCCCATAGGAAAAAACCCATAATGACGGGAGACACAAGGTAAATATGCTTAATATACATGAGTCGAAAAAACCCGACTCACATAGGAAAAAACTCACCATAATGGGAGGCGTGAGACAAAATATGTCTGAGATGTATAAGTTGACAAAACTTGACCCGTGTATGAAGAAACTTATCACAGCGGGATACACAAGGCATAATGTGCCCAATGTGCATACATAGGAAAAATTCATCCCACCCGAAGAGAGCCCTCAAAAGCACAAGTCAAACTAGATTGGGAAAGCTCAATTGATCTAAGTGAAGCTTGCT